ATTGAGAAATGTTCACTTGCACTGAGATGGTAATTTTTCACAGAATTCGTCCCAACATCTGGGTCCACAGCATTGTTCAGAGAAAATCTCTCTCCAACAGGACTTGACTCCGAAATGTCCAGATGCATTGTTCCTCTCCGAAAATGAGGAGCGTTGTCATTAATATCCAAAATTTCCACCTCAATGTTAAACATGCGAATAGGATTTTCAATTGTCGCATCTAATTTAAGAAAGCAAGACGTAGTTGTCTTTGATGGACACAGAAACTCTCTGTCAATCCTCTCCAAAATAAACAGCTCTCCGGTGTCTTTGTTTATGTCAATATATTTCTTATTGGCAACAACATCCACGCGCATCTTCCTCGTCTTCAGGGTCCTCACGTCTAATCCCAAATCAGAAGCTAAATTTGCAACGACAGATCCCTCCTCCATTTCTTCTGGAACAGAATAGTGGGTGACAGTTGATACTGATTTTAGGCTTGCAGCGAGACAGAGAAACAAGTAAACGTATCCCATCTTGGATCGTTGTCTCAGATTGCGTAATCGTGCAGAGTTTAAAATTATACGTAACGGCATGAACCGAAACGAATATGAACCGTATTTTTCTGAACAAGCTAATAAAAAAGGTTTGCCGTTTCTTCTTCCGTAACGCAGTTCTTATGACCACTGTCTCCGTCAGCGTCAGCGTATCTGCGGAGAAACTATCGCGATAACGATGACATCTCAAGACAGGATGTTAGTCTGTGGAATAGTGATTAAAAAAAATAAAAGTATCATTTAAAAACATTTAGTAAAACAATCGAATAAGTCTTTTGAAAATTAGTTTAAAAAACAAGACAAAGTGAGTACATAAAGACTGCTGTTCAGTAAAATTGAAATAAATCCTCTGGTAGTGCTCCCGTTTTGGAACGCTACGTAAACATTAACATATCATATGACTTAATTTACGAAAGTTTGACTCAGAAATTATACAGGCTGCATGAGTTTGTTGAGGGATATTTTGTATCACCTTGTCCGCTTTGTTTGGTATTTTGTGTTGCGCACTGCAGCCCTGTGCGTAAAGGCAGTGGTGACCAAAGTGGCGCGATATTTGTCTTTTTTGCGCGTGTGATAGCATGCTGAGAAAATAGGTGTTCACTGTCTTTCATGACTTTTTTTTGTACTTCAGCATTTAATGACATTATCCAAGTCGCGAATTTCTGTCTATCAACAAAATAAGTGATAATGAGGGGGATTAAATCTGTTGATAAATAATAGTAAAAAAATAGGGTTTTGAAAGTTAAAATAAAAATCATTAAATAAGTTCTGAAATGGTCATTAAGATAGACTTACATAAAAAAATACTACCTTGAACTTAAAAATACCTATCTGAGATAGTGTTTATGGGCTTGACTCTATGTTTATAGCTAACTTCATTTTAGACATTTCATTACTTGTTTAAAACACTTTATAAAGTATAAATATTTTCAAAAGAAAGAAGACAGGACAAACAGTCCAGTGAAAACAGAACAAGTCCTAGCAGTACCTTTAACTGACTGTGATGACTTGATGGTAGATTTAAATTAATAATAATTTTGTCCTGTAATTGCAACATGGGGAGTTCTCAACCGGAAATTGTACCATACTGTGCAAGATCATTCAGATGTTAAATTAGTCAAAGTATTTTCACCTTGTGGGTACTCCCTGGCTGTTTAGTAGATCTGCGGAACGTTTAACTGTAACTGAAAATATTCAGATATATATGCAAAGGTGAAGGTACAAATTTCAGTAAATAAATGTAAGTAGATTTTTCAATAGTTTAACTTTTCTAAAGAGGACAACACAGTGTTTATGGATGCACCAAAATCATGACAAAAACCACGCCTCAGAGTCAGCAGCACGTCAACAGTTAAACACTATTTCAGTATGACTCAAAGCTCAATGCTAACATAACAGAGGAGATTTTCAAGACGAAAAATGTATGAATTTGATCTATCCAAATCTTCCCGTAGATCTATCAAACATGTTTGTATTGGATACACAACCTCACCAGTTAAAAAGGAGCTGAAAAAGAAATTTGAAAAATACCTAAAGATATCCAGAAATTTGAGAAACACTAGCCTACTTCATACTGAGGAAACTTTGGTTTGTCATCAAGACAACAAACTACACCCACAATGTGCTTAAGCATCACTTCCTCCACACCTTTTTTACAGTCTATCTACAGTCGATCTACTACTTCTGTTTCCATTTCTCTTAATCCTCTACACCTCAGACTTCACCTACAACTATTCCTATTAAGTTTCAGCTATGAAAAATCTATCTTCAATATAAAAAAGAAGACATAACTTTTCTGTGAAATGGTGAACTCCTTATTCAGGGGAAAATGTTAAATAGCTTTTCCAGTAGTATTTGTAGTTGGGAAATTCAGTTATCTTGAACTATTTATTGTTCCCATACCTGAAGAGTAGAGGCTGCTGAGTCACTGGTGTCAGTCAGTCCCGTCCCTCT